CACAGTAACAGTGAAACATTCAAAATGTAACCACCATCTTAGGCAGCCATACTCAAATTTACAGTTTAAAAACCATTAACGTCTAATAAAGAGGAGACAAACCATGTACAGATATCGACATAGAAGCCCCACACTCTTTCACCAGATGCATTACATGATACAGTCATTTACTGCTGCACTGATAGTTCACTTAAGATAAATCAATTGTAATATTCGAATGTATTTAGCATGCAAACCTTTCTTGAAACCAGTTGTACTTTTATATAAACCAGTCTTTTCTACAGCGTTTGAAGGGATAATGAACGTAGAAGCTGCTACTGCAGGAAAGATGGTAGATCATCACTTTTATCAAGGCTTCTGCTTTTACACTTAATCTCAGCAGACAGCCTACATGGTGTGTATATTATTATACCATGGGTGCTACTGAAAGAGTACAGACTTAACATTGATGCCCTCTTCCTATATACACAGTCCTGTCAACACAGGATATTATGATTAATGACTTCAATGTAGATTTATTTACCCTGTTTTCTGTACTCTCCTCCTGTCCCACTAAAGCAGGTCCTTCATAAGGATTCTCCATTAAAAGCTTTTTCAGTTTCTTCAGTTTAGGACGTTGTTTCCTCAGTTCCCAGTAGCTGTTGCAAAATCCCCAGATCTGCAACAGACGTAGGACACTGTTAGTGTAGTGTTTCATAAAGGCAATTAACCATTATGTGAAGGTTGTGACTGCCTGTGTGTAGTGCTGGGCAATAAAACACAATGATAGTTATTGCTATATAATTTCCCTCAATATACACATACAATATAATAAATGTTCAATATATCGTCAATAAATATTTGGTTTAATTCATTTGAATTACGAACAAATTAGCACTTAATTTTTCTATTAAATATTTATTTTGTTGAAGAAAGTGGGACTGAAAAAAGATTTACTAATCATATTTGTTGAAAAATATTTTATCATAATAGTTTTGATTGTTCTACCTCAGATTTGTGAAGTGATCCACTGTTTGGCATCAAGTGTTTGTCACGTTCTGACCATAAAGAAAACTAACCAAATAATTAACCATCTGGTTTCTTCAATTTTCACTCAGGAGCAAAAATCAGCCTTTAAACTTGAAATAAATAATGATTTGATGTACATCGTGGTAATTATCAATATCGAATGATATAAAATGTTTTTGTCATGATAACATTTTTGGCCTGATTAAGAAGATGAGCAGAATAAGGAGGGAGTGGGACTACCCGGTACTGGTTAGTGGGGGGGAGAAGGCAGTCACTAACAAAGAGAAGGCAGAGATGATGGCTAAAACCTTTGTGGCAATACATAGCTCTGACAACCTGGAAGGTGAGTGGAAGAAAGGAAGGGAAATGACATTGAAGGCATATCCTGGGGTCTTGGGAAAAAAGGGAGGAAGTGGGTGATGCACTGAGTGCTCCATTTTCTAAGGCAGAAATGGAGAGAGCAATTACAAGAACAGGTTTGACATCGCCAGGAGAAGTTGAAATGTGTTATGTTATGTTTTCGTATATGGGTGAGGTAGCATTAGGAAGACTACTTAGGCTATATAACAGAGTGTGGGAAGAAGGGCAGCTTCCAAAGAGTTGGAAGGAAGCAGTGGTAGTCCCAATTATAAGGATCCGACAAAACCTACAAGCTATAGGCCAATTGCTTTAACATCTCATGTGTGTAAAGTAATGAAACGAATGATAACAGACAGAATGGTTTATTTTTTGGAGAAGAGGGAATTAATTGCGTCGTGTCAAAGTGGATTCAGGAAGGGGAGGGGAACAATGGATCCAGTGTTATGCCTGGCAGATGAGATAAGGAAAGCCCTGGTCAATAAGGAAACAGTGGTAGCAGTCTTCTTTGACATTGAGAAAGCGTATGACATGATGTGGAAGGAGGGACTGATGATAAAACTGGATAAATTGGGAATAGGAGGTAGGGCTTTTAACTGGGTGAAGGATTTCCTGTATGGACGATCTATATGAGAGTTGGGAAAGAAATATCTGGCAGCTACCAGGGAAGTGTGATTAATCCGTTGCTCTTCTCCATCATGATAAATGATGTATTTTCAGAGGTAGGGCCTGGGATTGGAAGATCTTTGTTTGCTGATGATGGGGCCATGTGGAAAAGGGGAAGGAAGATAAAGTACACAGTTAGAAAGGTCCAGGAAGCAATAGATCTAGTAGGGCGGTGGTCACTGAGATGGGGTTTTAGGTTTTCAAGGGAAAAAACCGGTGTTTTCTTTACAGGGAAAAAGTTGGGGGAAGAGATAAAGCTTAAACTATATGGACATGTACTGGAGAAGGTTGAGTCCTTTAGGTTTTTGGGAATGGTGTTTGATGCTAGGTTGACATGGGCCGGCCACATTGAGAAAGTTATAGTTAATGTAAAACGGTATTAATGTGATGAGTGTTTGGCAGAGTGGACTGGGGGGGCGAGTAGGAAAGCACTGAAGGGGATATATGATGCACTGATTAAATCAGTAATAGATTATGGTTGCATAGCATCAGATGCAGCTAGAACCAATTGGCCAAGTTGGATGTTGTACAAACACAAGCGCTGAGAATATGTACTGGAGCGTTTCATACGTCACCAGCAGTGGCAATGCAGGTAGAAATGGGTGAGATGCCTCAATTAAGAAGGGAACAGCTGGCAGCCAACTATTGGGCAAACCTCCAAGGACAGGGGAGGTCTCACCCCAAAAGAGCAGTTATGCAGGTATGCTGGGAGCATGAAAGGGTTAAAAACCACAGTTTAGGATGGGTGGGAGATGCTATTGGGAAAGAGATGGGAATTGAGGGAAAGGAATTTTGCCCAACAGTTCCGCTGCCAATCAGACCACCTTGGCTCCTTTTGCAGACTAGTGTGGACCTAGAGATTTTAAATAGCCTCTCAAGGAGTAGAGCGGGGGTGGATGTATGCCAGATATTTAGTGATAGGATGAATGACAAGTATAGCTATTTGGTCATATTCACTGATGGGTCTAAAGACCCGGAGTCTGGACAAGCTGGATCTGCTTTCAGTGTACCAATGGGAGTAAAAATGCAGAAGAGACTCTCTGATAATTTATCAGTATTCGCCGTGGAGTTGGTGTCTGTTTGGTTGGCATTGCAGTGGGTAGAGGAAGTTAAACCAGCAAAAGTTGTCAAGTTGCTCAGACTCTAGTGCATTTCTGAAGAGTATGCAATCGTTTAAGTCACAAGCAAGTAGTAGTATACAGTTCATAGTACATGAAGTAATTGAACTTTACTCACAGATATGTCAGATGGGGGTAAGGGTAAAGTTTACATGGGTTCCAGCACATGTGGGGGTGATTGGTAATTTATTCATTTAGCTGACGCTTTTATCCAAAGCGACTTACAATTGCTATACATGTCAGAGGTCGCACAACAAGGGGTTAAGTGTCTCAATGGTGGATGTCTCACAGTGGGAATTGAACCCAGGTCTCCCACACCAAAGGCAAGCATCTTATCTATGCTTGCCTTTGCATCTTATCTATGTTTGCCTTTGCCTTGCCTTTGCCTTGCCTTTGCCATCACCACCCCATGATAGATAGATTGGCAAAACAAGCCAGTAAACGGGAAGCTGTTGAAATAGCAATTTCAATAAGTAAAGCAGAAGCCAAAGCACAAATCAGGTCAAAAATTAATAAAAAGTGGAGAAAGGGAGGCATTATATACATTCAACAAAAGGTGGGACAGAAAGGATCACTGAAAGGAAACAAAGGGAGGAAATCATCTTCACTAGGTAAGAATAGGACACTGTGGGTTAATAAGTACTTATGTATTATACTTACGTATTATGGGTAAGCACATATCAGGTAGGTGTGAATTTTGTTATAATATTGAATCTGTGGAACATGTGATTTTTGAGTCTCAGAAATATGAGAGGGAAAGGGCAAAGATGAGAGAGGGGATATCGTCACCTACCTGTGTGTGTGTCATTTCTATACCTGAGTGTGTGTCACATGAGAGCTGTCCTGGCTGTTGGTCAGCTGGTCTGGAGTTCTGCATCCTGGTACAAACAGCAGCAGGTTGGATGTGTCTGCAATTTTTAGATCATAGGTCTTGTCAGCACTACAGAGAACCGCACGCTCATCCTTATCCCCTCGAATCCAGACTGGAAAAAGAGAAAATGATTGTGAGTTACAATTTATACATCAATACATATGTCTGCATTCATCCTGATTTGCATCTCGTGCTACTACACTGCAGGTCAGTTTTAATTATCTCCGACCACACATGAATCATTTGTGTCCAACAAGAGGAAAGAAGAGACAGTCACTTCTAGATGATGTTCTCACCAGGTTTTAAATGACTGAATACAGGACATTACTTCGCATCATTAAAGTCTCACCTCTGCCCGGCTTCAATTTGTTTGCACAGCGTGTCGTCCGCTCCATCAGGCAGTAGTCTGCAGATGATACGTTTTCCCCAAAAGACAGACAGTGAATAGTTTTCTGCAGATCCTCCTCTTTCAGCTTGGCGATCTGCAGAGTGGCCTGAACCTCCTCTAAAGTTCTCATTTGGGTCAGACGTCGGTCTTAAATAGATAATGTGATGGATAAACCCCGTTTTTGACTCGCGAAACAAACTAAACTTTCAAAGGCATAAACTCAGTCAACACTAATGTTATTTTAGCAATACTCGAGACTGTCAAAGACTGTCAATTTCCCCGCGTTCTCTCTGTCGTGAGAAGGAAGTGCGGTAACTAAGTTGAGGTGCGACGTCAAAATAGGGTCGGGTAGAAACTATTACGCGATAGAAATGTGAATAAATGCGAAAATTAGTTTCTTTCAGCATATATTTAAATGTTGTCGTTAAAATAAATAAGAACCAACACGAGAGTTACCATTTTCTACTAATATAGATAAACCTGTAACCACAGACTGTATGGAAATATTGAAGTCTCACATCTGTTTCAATCGAGTGAAATTACCAAACGAACCACCTCTCACGTTAAGGGTCAAATGTTTTGAGGATGTGCTGGTAGTGCCTTCGAAATGTCAAGTTTCTCCAGATCTGCCCAGGTAACCATACACGTTATATGTTATCCTATTTTTATCTCACAATTTGAGCGTTTTGTACGATTAGGTTTTGGTTTATGTATGTTACGTCAGTCACAGTTAGCTGTTAGCTAAGGAGCTAACCACGGTGTATGTGTGTGGTTATAATAACGGTAAACGTAGGTAATAGAAATAAGTGCAGACTGCCCTTAGCAACTGAGAAATACTCGAGTCAAATTTGTTGTATCCTCACTATAACTAACGTTACTGTTTGCAAGAAGTGTTATAACCCCTAAGACCAATATTTATGTCTCTTGTCAGCATTTCACATAAGTTATAGTCTTAACAACCCTGTCAGATTTTTCTAGCTTTAAGCATTGTTTTGAGATATTAGTTAGAACAGAGTTCTTCTAACTGTTTTATACTTATCTATTCATAACTGTGTGTGTGTGTGTGTGTGTGTGTGTGTGTGTGTGTGGACACGGTGCAGTTGATGAAATCTTACCACTAATTTTAACACTCAAGAAAATAACAAAGAAATCAAGGATTTAATTGTAAATTTTAAAATTACTAAGCAGACCATACCAGAATAGACTGTCCTAACCTTTTTTTGACACATTGAAATTATATGTTTCGTTAAAATAATAAGTTTAGGCTTATTGGTGCTTTTACACAGTATGGATTTATCTGTTATACTGTATGCTGCGCAGAGGAGGCGTTAGCTGACACTAGGGCTGCAACTAACCATTATTTTCATTGTTGAGTAATCTGTGGATTATTTTCTTGATTAATGGATTAGTTGTTTTGTCTTTAAAATTGTTGACGCCCTTAAATGTTTTGTTTTGTCCACAACCCAGATATATTCAGTTTACTGTCAGAGGAGTAAAGAAACCTAGAAACAAGTTTACTTCTACTTTGACATGTCAGCATGTCTTTTGTGAAAAGGCCTATTGTTAGAAAATGCAGGTCTCTTTTGTTTCTACTGCCATTAAACCGTGATGGTCAGTTTATTTAACACTTCTGTTTTTTCTTCTTTCAGCAATGGGCGACCTTCGCTCGATCCTGGTTCCTGATCGATGCCAGGATGCAGCCTCTGGGAAGATCGCGACCATGTGTTCTGTGAGATTACAGGGGAAACACAAGCCTATCTACCACGCACTGAGTAAGTAGGGGTATAGTCTGTCACAAAACACATATAAAGTCATGAGCAGCTTTCTAACTTTAACATAACCCCTGTGCTGGGCGTAAACTACATTTTTTTCAGACACCCCAATCCACCCATAGTTTAAGCTTGTTGTGGCATGGAACGGCCACATGATGGCAGTAGATGATACTGTATGAATATTTTGCTTGCTTCTTACTGATAAGTGACATTCTCAGAATAGTCTTGTTTTTTGGAAGATCAGTCTTTGTTGGTCTAGTAAACTAGCTGTTGTTATCATTGGCATACAAGCTGTTGTACCTGTCTGTCTCTCTGTTAAATAGTCAAGTATTTATTGTCATAGTTTTGAACATAGCAATAAGCCTGAAAACAAACACCTTGAACATCTTTGCAGGTGATTGTGGTGACCATGTTGTAGTAATAAACACCAGAAACATAGCATTCTCTGGAACAAATGGGAGCAGAAAGTCTACTCGTCACACACAGGGTAAGTCCAAACAACATGATAATTTACTTTCCCCCTCTCTTTTTCTTCCGTGCTTGTAAACCTCTCAGAAAAATCTTTCAAGAAAAGCATTTCTCAGTGTCTCTGTAGCCTCTTGTCACGTTCATACTTGAGAGGCAATGACCCACTTTCTTTGACACCACAGGGTTTCATGGGTTTTTATTTGGACTCATATTTGTACGGTTTCCACTGTATAGTGCCTAATGCATGAAAAATTGAGATTGGGGTGGTTTTGCTTGTAATAGGACAAATGCAATCAGTGAGTAAAAGTCTTTAATACAATTTCTTCTATAAAGCAGTCTTTGTTTCAAAGAGAAAAACAATTTGATTAGAATTACAGATTAAAAAAAAGAATGCGCTTTAATATAATTATCACTAAAAGTAGAAGATATTAATCAATCAATCAAATTAATTAATGTCTCGTATCCAGTCGTAGGAAAAAGTATGCGAACCCTGCAGATCAGACCTTAAGAACGGTCAGGAGGAATTTTGGACCTTTCCTCTTTACAAAACTGTTTCAGTTCAGCGATATTCATGAGATGTGTGTGTGAATCACTCTCTTGAGGTCATGCCTAAGCATCACAATCAGGTTGAGGTCAGGACTCTGACTGGGCCACTCCAGAAGGTGTATTTTCTTCTGCTGAAGCCTATATGTTGTTGATTTACTTCTGTGTTTGGGTCATTTTCCTGTTGCATCACCCATCTCCTGTGAGCTTCAATTGACGGACAGATGGCCTTACATTCTCCTGCAAATGTCATGATAAACTTTGGAATAAATTTTTTCTGTCAATGATAGCAACCCTTCCAGGCCCAGAGGCAGCAAAGCAGCCCCAAATCTGATGCCCCCTCCACCATACCTCACAGTTGGGATAAGGTTTCAATGTTGGTGTGCTGTGCCTTTTTTCCTCCACACATAGGGTTGTGTGTTCCTTCCAAACAACTCAACTTTGGTTTCATCAATCCACAGAATATTTTGCCAATAGTGCTGTGGAACATCTAGGTGCTCTTCTGCAAACTTGCAATGATTATTTGGACAGCAGTGGCTTCCTCCGTAGTCCTCTTGGGAACTCCATTCTTGTTTAGTGTTTGACTTATCATCGAGTGTCAACAGAGATGTTAGCATGTTCCAGAGATTTCTGTAAGTCTTCATTTGACAGTTTGTCTTACCGTGGACTGATGAACTTCAAGGCTTGTAGAGATACTTCTGTAACACTTTTTAGCTTCATGCAAGTCAACAATTCTCAATCTTAGGTCTTCTGAGAGGTATTGGTGTGTGTCTTTTATAGGACAGGGCAGCTTTAACCAAAACCTCCAATATCTCATTGATTGGTTAGAAGATATTAGCCTAGGGGTTCACAAACTTTTCCCAACCTGCACCGTGAATGTTTATGGGTGTGTTAAACATTTAATAAATAAAAACATTTTTGTTTGTGTGGTATTAGTTTAAGCAGACTGTGTTTCTCTGTGGGTGCAACTTAGATGAAGTTCAGATCACATTTATGACCAATCTATGCTCTCTCTCTCGATCGATCGATCGATAGATAGATAGATAGATAGATAGATAGATATGCTCACTGGTTGACCAATCTATTCAGTTTAGCGTTATACACTTGGACTGACTTTCCTGTCCCCCCCCAAAGGTATCCAGGTGGATTCAAACAGCTCACAGCTGCCCAGCTGCACCAAAAAGACCCCAAAGCTGTAAGTGTCCTCAATTAGTATTCTCCAGTTTTTAATTATATTTACAGAAAATTCTGAAATCTCAGTAGAGAAACTAGAAAACTAGAAAATATTCTCATGCCGCGTAACTTACGCCATGAATATAACACTGTATGTATGATTAATCCACATTCTTGGAGATTAGTCAAATTGTCATGTCTGCCACATGCTGTGCAGAGCAGGTGTTTGGTGGTTTGCATTTATCCCTTCACATGTGGTGCTCGTGCATATTAATGTGAAGTGCAGAGAACAGGGATTTTATGATTTGTGCTGGTGGTGTTTGGTGCGTTCTGAAACTCTGTATGAAAATGTATGTTAAAGGATAATTCCTGGGGTTTTGGTCGTGATGCATAATCATGGTTTCAGGGTTAGACACACACAGTGATAATTGCATTCAGAACTTGATGTGACCTACATGCTGTGCTTTACAAACCACTGTCAGTGACTTCTTTGTTACAAAACATTGAGGCTTTGTCACAAGAGAGAGAAACAACTCATGAGCTTAAAGGATAAGTCTGGCAATGTTGTGTATTTTCTTATTGTCAAAAATACCATGAAAATTAAACAAACAATGAATTAAAAATACAGAGGGTATTTCCTATGTTGCTAACATCCGATGTTGCTTATTCTTATGTGCCATTGTCTTTCAATGTTGTCTTAAAACTATTATATTTATTGAGGGACATTGTCCTCTATATGATAAACTATGCTATATTTAATAAGTCAACCCCACACACCACCGTCCTGCTGCCTTAAATTATAATAAAAACACCAAGGTGATGTCCTGAAATGTCGTCTTTTGTCCACAACCCAAATGTATTCAGTTTACTGGCATAGAGGAGTAAAGAAACTAGAAAATATTCACATAACTTACGCCATGAATATAACACTGTATGTATGATTTAATCCACATTCTTGGAGATTAGTCAATTGTCATCTCTGCCACATGCTGTGCAGAGCAGGTATTTTCATTGATTAATCTGTAGATTATATTCTTGATTAATCAATTAGTTGTTTTGAGAAGCTAAAATCAGATAATTTATTTTTTTTAAAAAGGGCTCAAAGCGATTAATCGATTATCAAAGTAGTTGGCTATTAATTTACTAGTTGAAAACTTATCGATTATTAACCAATCGTTCCAGCTCTGTGACCTGGTGATTAAAATGCAAACCTTCAGTAGCAATGAATAGGCTTGGGGTTGAGCGCCACGGTAGGGAATTCAGAAATCAGTTTTCATGAGCTTTGTAAAATTGACATATAATTAAATAAGACATGCCTTATCTTTCAAACTGGAGTAATGTTGTAAAGCGTTGTTGCCATTTACTTTTAGATGTATTTTAATATTTTGACTGACATCTCACAGTCACAGTGGGCTCAGGGTGGCTCATATTCACTAACACATTGTGTTATAATATATATATATATATATATATATATATAATATCTATATATATATATATATATATATATTATATTATATATATATATATATATATATATATATATATATTATATGATATACACACACACACACACACACACACACACTCTTGTCATGTGGGACTCACTAAAAGTAGGTGAATGACCTGTACTGGTTTTCACTCTGTAGTTTACAAAGCAGGAGAAACATTTCCTCTGCTGTTGGTGCTTTGCTGATGCAGGTTTTTTGTCCAGTTGGTGACCACAGCCGTGTGTCCTGATGGTGGTTTAGTTAAAATGAGGTTTTGAGGGTTGGCAAGCAAAGGGGAGAAAGAATTGGACAGATGAATGATTTGTCAGCCCTGCCTCTATCCAACATCTCTGTCCAATATTTCTGTCCAATGTCTCAGTCCAGTAACTTTCTCCAAGTCGAATTTGTCTGACTGGCCTCATATTGAGAAACATCATGTAGTTTCTCAATATGTAAGAAATGTATATTGATATAAAGAATGAACAGTTGCTATAGACACTTGATGAGCAGATTGCACATCAACCTTTTCAATTCTTCTCAACAGATTGTAAAGTTAGCGGTTTACGGCATGCTGCCCAGGAATCTGCACCGACGCACCATGATGCAGCGATTGCACATCTTTCCTGATGACGTAAGTCCAGTTTCTCCTCATTTCTCTGAGCTGATGAGTCTTTAGACAGCCCCTCTTACCCCTTAATCATCCAGGCTTATTAAGGACAATCAGAAAGAGGGCACTTTATGAGAAGTGGTGCACTGACATCATTATGCAGATACTTACACAAAAGAATGAGGCAGTTTTAATCATCCTTCATCCAGGTCACCTTTATAACTAATATCAGTTAATTACTAGAAAATTAATATATGTAGTTCACTGTAATTGTTGCCTTTGATGGAGTCCTTTTCTTTACATACATTTTCTCAGTAGGTATGTGCGTTTGAGTGGACAATAATGTGGGGTTTTAGTGTTTCACACTGGTTGTGAGGTTGCTTCAGCAGCACTTTCACTCTTTCTCAGTCTTGTATAACATACAGCTGTATTGGTTAATATTTTTATATTAACATTGGGTCAAATGACAGTGTCACTTTTTGTGTCAACTCTGCAATTCCCCTAATTTCTATGAAGCAGTTTAGTGTCTTTAGTGTTTTGGTTCACTCTCACAGCTCTTGTCAGATTGACAGCAGCAGGCAGCTAGTTACAACTGGCTACAACTGTACACTACCTGCTCAGCACCAAACTGCAGAAAGACAAAGTGGGCAAATAGCTGGTGAACATAATGGAGTGTTTAGCTGCTAAAGAGCCAGATATTTTGCTCAGGAGTTGGTTGAGACCAAAATAGAGTGAATATTGGACTTATATTCGTCGTGTGGCCAGAAACATTGGTGTATCAATCTGTCTCTTCCTTGATTCAAATAGAATCATTGCAGTGAATTATGGTCACTGCACGTCACAACAACATTTTTGGCATGTGGTAGTATCACAATCGTTTTAAATTTCTGTTTGCCAGAACCACTGGTCACATATCACAGCTTCTGTAATGAATTTTTCTTTTTTTTCTTTTTTTTTTAACCATGAAACTTTCATTATTTCCAGGAATGTGTGACAATCAGCTCTTTGAGTTTTGACTTGTAATGTAACACATGATGTGTTTGGTGTCAGAATTTAGAAGTGAGGAAAGTCTGATACATGTCTTTTATTTTGGCCCTGACTTTATATCCACCATCAGAAGTGATGTATGCAGTGTGCATCCCAAATTACAAGCCGATGGGCTCAAGCCTTGTGAATGTCTGCAGTCCCATCTACAACTCAGAACACAATATATTTTGAAATTTGTGTTGGGGGGGTCTATCACTGTTTTAAGTCTGAACTATGCCAGCTCCTCTAAATGAATCTGTAGGTACATTCCCACTTGTAATGAATATTAATGAGAACAACTGTAAACACTGGAGAGATGGAACTAAAGCTCCCTTTAAGTCAACAATATCTGAGCTGCTTATGGGGTATAAATGGTAACTTTATGCCTATTTTCACCTTCTTTTTCATGTCACGTCTCCTCTGTCCTCCCCCTCACTAGGAACTACCAGAGGACATCCGTGCAAACCTGACGGAGGAGCTGCCTCAGCCCAGAGAAATCCCCAGGAAACTCAGCGAGTACACGCAGGAGGAGATAGACGCCTTCCCCAGGCTGTGGACACCGTATGTAGAAACACATACAGTCTGTTCTCAAACGCACACCAATGTCAACATAAATACAGATGCTGTCCGCACGCGCGCGTGTGCGCGCGCACACACACACACACACACATACACACACACACACTTTACACAAGTAGGTGTCACTGTATATAAATGTGAATGCAGGATCTACTGTATTACACACAAAGAACCTCAGTACACACAAGATTAACAGGATCATTGATGAGTGTTGCACATTCATATAATGGTATTTTTGTTAAGTACTGTAGCAAATGAATAATGTTGTCATCAACATTGTCTTGCTTGTAAGTTAAATTAAATCACCGTCATTGGAAAACCATGAGTACCAACAACAGCATTGGGATGCATGTAATTGGAATAGCTCATGTTGATGGAGTTGTTTTCAGGTATGCTATTTAATGTCATTTTTGCCTGCTTGGGTGATTATATCATACATGTTTTCAGTTTTTAATAATTGTGGTATAGTTGCTTCAAGGTGACATGTAACATAATGAATCTCCAGCAGAGAAAATGTACATCAAGTCATACTGGCTATTTAGTGCTATTGTATTCAGTTGACTGAACTAAACAGAAAATGATACATTTTAATGTTTATGCTAATGCTAACCCCTGACCTCTACCTTCAAATGGCTCTTTTAATTGCCTGACAAATTTTTTAAAGTACCTCACTTGGGAATCAATTTCTTACTTTTTTGTCCTTTGAGAATCATTGCACCATGAGTGATACACACACACACACACACACACACACACACACACACACACACACACACACCCCCCATATTTTTGGGTGTTGTGCTGGTGAGGAACAGCCAGAAGGGGGCGATGTTGATCTTAGTGCCATCTCACATTGCTACTTCTCACACCCTCTTTGTGTAAACTAACCACCCTGCCTTTGTGCTACAGTAGTTGACATGAAGTAGCATTAGGTTACATCCTCTGAGTGTTTGGGATATTGCAGCCATGTGGTTATATCTTTAAATACTTTAAAGACAACAGAAATCCAGGATGGGATAAAAATAAGTTTTTGTATTTCGCATTCAAAAAGAAATACAGGTTGTTGAATCGCTGGTGAAGGAACAGTGCTGGCACTTTAACACAGTTTTGCGTTATTTTCATGGTCTCACTAAGCAACGTATGCATGAACGGATCCAATTCAAAAGCTTGCCAACCCCTTCTTTTTGTGGCCAGTTTGACTCTGACACATTCACTCATGCAGGAAAAAATAGATGCAACAGTTTTCATTGTAACTAAAAACACATGTGGCTGTGGCGTGAATGATTGTCAGCCAGCAAAGAGCGGTCAGTATGTGACATGACACACAGAACATGGTATATAGACACTCTAAGGTTAAAAGCTCATATGATATTATATTGTTCGTAAAAGTTTTTGTGATGTTTGCAGAGTTTTACCATTGTACATTATGCTACACTATGCAATTATCAAACAACGTAACACTGAACAGCCCACTCAGTACTCCCTGCCTAGGTGTTGTGCCAGACATTTGAATATAAAAGGTGAAATGTCATAAAAGCTTGTGGGAAAGTCAGCTGTTTCCCACCACTTCCTGACCGTTTGGACACACAAGGTTTCTCTGTGGGGTGTGAGAGAGCATCTGTTATTTGGCATAATCATATTCATGGGTTTTTCAGTGGAGTATTTTCTGTTCTGAGATTAGACTGACATTGTGACCCGCGGTTTGCTGTCATGATAATGTCGTCCTGTTGCATTTCTCTGGCCTCACCTGTAAGAACCATCATCCTGACAGGTTAACTGGGAGCATTCCCTCTACCACCTGCTCAGCACTAGCTTCAGCGTCCAGCTGTTTATGCAGGTCAGAGCTGCTCCTCTTCATCTGCAGGAGCAGTGGCTCAACACCCAAGTCCACTGGTTGTCATTAAGATCAAATTATAAATAGAAAAGTTTCCCTTTCCTTTCAACCTTTAGCTGCATCACAGTATAATATTCAGCAACATCGTTGTTACTGCAGTCAATGCACTTTGACTCTCCAAGTTGTTGTGAATATTTGTATTTCACAAAGCAACCACCCAGTTAACAAGGCGACAGTGAAGCACAGTCATGAAACTTTTATGAGTTTCTTAAAGTCGTCATTAAGTGGTGTACGTGCAGAGTTGTTGTGGAGTTGTTTTTGCATTGCATTGAATACAAATATTAAACAGGGGTGGGTGGTGCTGTGGTTAGCACTGTGGCCTCACAGCAAAGGTCGTGGGTTCGAACGCCGGTTGACCCAGGCTTTCTGTGTGGAGTTTGCATGTTCTCCCGTGTCCGTGTGGGTTCTATCCAGGCGCTCCGGCTTCCTCCCACCATCCAAAGACATGCAGGCTAGTTAATTGGTGTTTCTGAAATTGTCCTTAAGTGTGAGTGGTTGTTTGCCTATGTGTGGCCCTGCGATGGATTGGCGACCTGTCCAGGGTGTGCGATGGATTGGCGACCTGTCCAGGGTGTGCGATGGATTGGCGACCTGTCCAGGGTGTGCGATGGATTGGCGACCTGTCCAGGGTGTGCGATGGATTGGCGACCTGTCCAGGGTGTACCCTGGACAGGTCTAGAGGCATCCAGACATGCATACTGTTTTTGGTTTTATTTGTCCAGGTTTTCCAACCTCTGAAATGTCGGCCTCTGCCCCATTAAAATGGAGGTTATATATGGTACTCAAGGTATTTGAAAAATTTAACTGCTTTCAAGACATCATGTCCCAGTTACCGTGGAAAAAAGATATGCTTACAGCATGTCAGTATTACGCTCGGCATTGCTGTCGGAGGAGTGTGTGTGCATGTTTACTGGCCCAATCTCTTCAGCCAATCAGGGCACATGCCCAGGCCTGTCGCTGTGTGGTCGTCAAGGTCAAGCTAATTCTGGTTTATTTAAAAGATGGGCCATAGCCTAGTTAATGTTCCCTCACACTGTCTTATTCATTTTACTGATCGTGTGTGCGCGCGTGCATGTGCCCGCCAGCCCGTCAGAGGAGGCGAAGTTGAGGTCATCGAGGGCAATTCAATTGTTGCCCTTTATTAAACACAGTTAATATTCTCTCAGAAAACCTTGGAGCAGAAGCAAAAGATTATTACTGGATATGTGACTCCTGTCCCCTCTCCCCACGCAGACGCACGCACACACACGGTGCTCAGACAGAAAATCAACAACATAACCATACTGCTGTAGTTGATAGCAGAGCTATTACAGTTCATGATAACATTTTTTTTACTTTGTATCAAAACCAATACAGCATGCCATGATAATATCTGTCTGCTACAATCTCTGCTCAAAATTAAAGCAGAAAAACACAAAAAGAGGATGCTGTGTCTGGTCTCATTTTGAAAAGGGAAAAAAAACCCTGATAAGATCTTTCTGGTTTCTCATCTGTCATTTTCTCTCCATGTTTTTCCTTGTAATGGGTTCTTTCCCCAGACTTTTATACCCCACCATACTAATGTGTTGTCTTGTGTTTTTTCTACAGACCTGAAGACTACAAGATGAAATGAAACCGAGGCTGCCGACCCGACGTGACCAAAGCTGAAAAGGGTTTTTCACATCAACGCTACATTGAAAGCAACAGACCCCTTGGTTATGTTATAATACCTGACAGATATTGTAAAAATTGGAGTATTTGATGTGGAGATGTTGTTCTGTTTTTAAAACACACAAATTTTTTTTGTTCAGATTAAACATTACAAAAACAGTCACATTTTGTGCAAATTCAGGAAACCACACTGGCATCAAGGCTCTACTGGACTTTACTAAAGCACTACTAAGTCGTAACTTGTGTGCCAACATCATCAACACAAACTCTGTGCCGCCTGACAGCAGACCTGAATCATCCAGTAACAGCTTGAGATTTTACCATGTGGTTCAGCTCTGATCAGAGAAAATCAGATTCTGTAGGTTTCCCTCTGATTATACAACCATGAAATGATCAGATCTGGCCCATAAAAAATGACATCTGTTAGTGCTGATCCTGCCTTTGAAGGTTTGTGGGTTCCAGTGAAACCAGTTAATGAGTTACTATGACAACGTTCAGGCCATCCATGTGGTTTCAGTAGAAAATGCTGAACTTTTTGTCTGGTCAGAAATTTTAATGGTGTTGTTAAAGTATAAAGCAGCAGTGTTTATGTGAGTTGTAAAATAGGCTAATAAACAATTTAATAAACCTGTTCTCATCAAGTGGTGTTTTTATGTAAATGTTGTAAAATCTAGTCAAAGTTTGAGGTTAAGGTTCAGCAAATGACCTACAACATATTTTTATAGATTCATAACAGATTTATTGGTTATAAAAGCAAACAAAATACAAAATAAATAAGTTCATATTGTACTAAGGGGCGTGGTGGTGAGACACATGATTTAAAATGTTAAATAGGTCAATAGTTTAAATCTCAAATAGACCAGGGCCAGCTCACAGCTTAACTTCAGTGCTGGGGGGGGGGGGTTACATTACATTACATTTGTAGTTCAGTGCTTTTGGTTTCACTGAGCTTAGAATCTGCCGTTTTAAATAATAACTGGCTCCAGGTGTCATTCCAGCAAAAGATCAGAGGTCAGCCAGTGAGGAAATAGCTTCCAGGTAAGCAGACCTGACTTTGCATAAGAAGAATTAAAAAAACAAAAAAATACAAATACAGATTTGTCCTCTTAATTCACCACAAGTCTGAGTACTAAAACCCAGAAGGAACCTGGTCCATCTTTGCAGGAACAGGGTGAAATATCGCAGGGTGAAATGTAAAGGTAGCCAGATTTCTCTGAATAAAAAAAGATAATTTTAAAAACTAAATTTGATTTGCATTCGACAGTGTTGAGGTAAAATTCAATAGAAAGTTGATGCATCAATTTAGGGGGCTAAACTCTGTCAAAAGAAGCAAACTCAACACAATACTGTACGGAGAAAATCACTTCAAAAACAATTCAATATTCCTTTACACACTGAAGTAAAGACTCGTGATTTATCGTTATAAAAAGCAGCCTGTACAAATGTTGCCGGCTCATCGTCCTCAATTTGAATTGTAAAATAATCTAGCTAATTGCGTACAAACAAAACAAGATGCACGTGTCCAGTTACACACTGAATGGTCGGCTCAAAGGAGACATGCAGCTTCACACAAAAAGAAGGGTTTCAGTCCAGAAATCAGCTGTGAGAGGTCTTACCTTTACATTACCACTGGACGATGCAAACATAGATCAGGCACTTTTCGGACCCCCCTTTTACAGAGATATTGTACAGGAGTCCCCAGAGCTATTTACATTGTTTCACCTGGAGGAGGAAACCACTGGATACACAGGGGAGGGGGTTCTCACCACAGTTTCAGATGGGGGACAATGTGTATGTGCATGTTAGTGTCTGATTTGTTTCCATGTGTGAATATCAGGTGTGTGTGTGTGTGTGTGTGCGTGTGTGTGTGTGTGTGTGTGTGTGTGTGTGTGTGTTGTGGCGTGCAGGGCTCAAGCACTTTAGGTGAGTCCATCCTTCCTCTAAAGTCCTCCCTCCTCACTCTCTTCCATGACAACATCACGAGGAAACCTCTTGGCAACGCCCGGCGACCTCAGCTCCGTGTCCTCAGAGTGGGTGGGGCTTGAGCGATAACCGTGGTGGCCGTGGGCCTGTTGGGGGTAGTACTCAGGGGGATAACCACGGTAATAGGGGTCCTGCTCTTCCTCTCCCTCCTCCTCCTCCTCCTCCTCCTCGCCTCCTTGGTCATTGTTGTAAGCCACTGCAGCAGGGTTGTACGGCTGGTTGTAGGGCTGGTAGCCGCCATGAGGCAAGGGTTGGACTGGGGTGGTGGGAATATTCAGGGTCAGTTTTGAGAGAATGTTTCTGGATCACCGCAGCTAACATAAAACCACCACCACCAACGTGTGAGCATGGAGCAAAGTTAAGGCGGACTTTGGGATTAAAACCACCTTAAATGCCACCACCACCACCACCACTTAAAAGCAATAAGGAGGCAGTGCTCTAGTAAAAGGTTACAAAACAAGTTGAACAGGAGTCGCATTGAATATTGAAGAAAAATCTTGTTTCTAGCCAATATTGCCCAGATTTGATAATTTTTCAAGAAATAAAAAGATCACATCTGGGTCACATTAGGGGGTAAAATTTAGATTTCACGCCCAGCTTACAGTATATGAGATATACAGATAGAGGAGTTGTTCAGTATTGAACGCAGCCAATCAGCATCAAAGCAATTCATCACTATTTAGCTGATTCATCAGCTGAAAGATGGGATTAGTTTTGAAGAGATTTGAGCTTGAAGCAGAGGCTGCTGCAGAAAAGCATTGTGTGTATATGAGTATTTGTTGACAGATGGTACTGGGATCAGTGGTGGTGATCATCACAGCAGCATTACGGGGGTTTTGTTTGGTCTTGAGGGAAGGTAAAATAATCTATTTTTGTCTCTGAGATTACCAAATGATTAAACAGCCAGATTAATGATCCAATTAGACCAAGAAAGTTGACTGATAGCAGAAGTGAATCCATTTTCTACTCATAAGGAACCACAGAGCATCATGCTTCTAAAAATTTACGCCAGACCAAAATGTGGGCACAAAGTAGCCTTACGTCACTTGTTCTATTATGGAGCCACCTTGCTTTTTAACTTAAATGGGTGAATAAAACGATTTGTAGATCCTGCCAAAATTACATGTTGGTTGCAAGAGTCATTTGGAAAAAGAAAGTCTCTGGAGAAAGGAGAAACACAATTCATAAACCGCTGCTGCAGGGATGAAAGTTTAAACCCCAGGGTCAGGAGTAATTATCCATCCCAAGAAATATGGATTCCTAATTGATTGATTGCTGAGAAATAATTGAATTGATCTAACTTCCTTAGTTTCTAGTCTTATGTACAGGGCACAGGAGGAGGAGGAGGAGGAGGAGAGGAGGACGGTTGGAGAATGTTCCTCAGTAATCATTCCCATAGTCCTGTTGAACTTCAGTCGGAAAGAGGAAGAGGCAGAGGGAAGGGAACAAAGGGAGAAGAAAAAAAAAGAGAGTCAGAGAGAAGATGTTACCTCATATCAGGAGGAAAACCCAACGACACCCAAGAGTCAAACCTCTCAAACCGCTCTGACTGAACCCCAGCTGTTGGGTTGTGGTTAGAGGTAGAGCGATAAGTGTTGGAATCTGCTTCTCTCTTTTGGAGGAAGAAAATACACCCACCCCCGAGAAATTCTTACAATAAATTTAGTTCATGTAAATATTAAGACATTCATATGAAATGTTTGGAAAGGGGGAAAATGTGTCAGATCTCTATTTCTCTTTCTGTACATGAGAAAGGACAAATAAAGAACAGTAGTACAGCAGTGTACATACAGAGCACACCAAGAAAAACATGCCTTGTGAGTAACACTGAATCAAACACAGTCAATGTTTTTGCAGTTACACACACCAGAACTGCAGTGTTTCACCACATATACCACATACTCCGCAAATACTCATTTAAAAGTGAATTATGAAAGTATTTAACAGCTGCCACTTACTTACTAACCAGATTTGGACAACTGTATGGACATTTTTACCAGCACGATATGCTTATAACAACATGACATGTCGACCTGACCATTAAATTTGAAGCTACAGCCAGCAGGTAATTAGCTCAGGTTAGCATAAAGACTAGAAACAGCAACTCTGGCTCTGTCCGAAGGTTAATAAATATGTCTACCAGCAGCTCTAAAGCTCACTTATTAACATTTTGTATCTTCTTTGTTTAACCTGTACAAAAACTGTGAAAAACAATTTCACTGGGAGTTATGTGCCAGACTACTTCTTCGTCAGGAGCCGGGCTAGCTGCTGTTTCCCCCTGTTTTTAGTCTCTATGCTAAGCAAAGCTAAGAGGCTACTAGCTGTAGCCTTATATTTAATAGACGACATGAATAATAAAAATGGGAGCATTTCCAAAACAAAAATATTTTAAAAGAATGATTTAGCTAATGATATATAATCACAGATGCCATTTTTATGTATCTGCATACAGTTCCAAGATGTGCTTAATGGTGAATACTGAATTTTGCCTAGCTTAGCTCAATTTCCAACCGTCTTTAAAAGGTGGCAGCCTCTCTGAAAAATAGGGGAATTGCACCTGTAGTCTATGCCAAGAGGGATAATTAATTTAACTAAATGCAGTAAAGTTACTAATTCCATTTTTAAATAAGAAGTGAAATCATACTTTTTGATCTATTAGTTTACTCACATCCATGGCAGTGGACACAGACATTTAAAAAATAATGTAACCTTTCAGGCATTTAGTATGAAAAGATTCACAGAGAGCAGGGTACGTAGGAAAAATACTAGTAAACTGTAATATCCCTGTAAAAGTCACAATGCCAAATTAACGATTAAAATCTAGCTGCTGTGAAAGGAACAATACTCCCCATACTTTTTTAAATTTTATAATTGTAGTTTTCCTTTTAAGTGGTCACAGAGGATGCATTTGATCCTTCCCACGGTTGGGAATAACAGGAAACACTCTCTTAAGTCATAAAATTAAAATAAAATATTGACTGGAATCCATGTATGTAAAATAAACCTGGTTTGATGGATGAAGTAATGTCTCATCCATCAGTTAGTTCTAGCACATGGTATTTCATTATGACGACTGTTAACGTGCAATGTCCTCGCTGAGACAATGGACCCATTAAGCCATGTACGGTCCTTGTCAGTGTGGATATTCAAGGATGCTCAGTGTATGTCTGAATGTGTGTGCAACGGCAAATTTTATTAGATCTCAATACAGACAAATACCTTCAGTCAGTGACACAGTTAACTTCTAAATCCATCATTGGAACAAACATAAAGGCCAGATTACTCTCCAATTCTCTGAGAGCTTTATGAGACAATAACTAACTGAAAGCTGGCTGTCACTGTGAAAACAATATTTCAGTGTTTGGTACGTACAAAATATGGTTTATAAGGTGGAGAGACTGGGCAGGGTTAGACTGTTTAAGCTGTTTATGTCAATAAGTGACAGAATATTAAAGGGGCTATATGTAGTTTTTCTACTAAAATTGATCCTTTATTTATTGCCTGTGTGTGAAGGGGTTGTAATCTGACATTAAAATGATCCACTTACCGGGTTTGGCTATTAACTCTGAAGGCAAGTATTTCTATTCCTATTTGAAGGCTCGGGGTCGGATTTTCCGCGAAATCCAGTGACTGACACCTGCACGCGCGCT